GTGAAGACATAAAAATTGATTGATGTGTATTTATATGTTTCTTAAATTTTATATAATTTTTTTTTTAAAATTAGTCATAAAAATATTTTTAGAAATATTTAATTCATTAATTTAGGAGATGCGTAGTAGCGGCATGTCCTTTTTTTAATATTATTTAAATCGAACACTTCTATGCTTTGTCCAACATGTGTCAGAATTGTGTCTTTGTCAGATATGTGTCGACATTGCACAACTTAATTAGAAGTGCTCTTGTATCATACACAATAATCTTCAGAGCTATAATTTTATCTCCAATCCTATTAATTTTAATAATTTTATCTTTTATAATCTTATTTTAAATTACACCTATACCATTTCTAATGCGAATCTTATTTGAATACCAAAGTTTAAAACCTAAGCTATTAACCTCCTTAGCCTTTTCTCCAACCCATTTAGTTTCTTGAATGCATAAGATATTTATCAACTCATGACAATATTTACCAATTTCATTAATTTAACTGTGAGAATACCTATATTTTAAGATCCTATCATAATATTAGTTTTATGGATTAATTTCTTTGCCCGTATTTGCTCATAATGTGGAAACCCCTGCTTATTTGACATTACACCCGGGAGCCGGTGTAGCAACCATTGCATTTTTTTTCATTGTATTCAGGTCATCCAACATATCTCTTCCAGAAGAAGCCCTAACATTTACACAATAAATTAAAAGATTTATGTCATGATTATTTGAAAAAAAAATTATGCTAATTTTCAACTACTTTACGAAACCCTCCATTTTTCACATTCGGGGCTTGAGGTCAGGCAATGTAAGTGTTAAATGATTACCTTTTATTAGTCGTAGATTATAATTCTAATACGAAACTTCACTATGTATTTCACTATAATTGATTCTATACCTAAACGATCATTTAAATTCTCTTGATCATAAATTTTATCATTTTCACTAATTAGAATATAATTTCTTAAAATTATAGTTTGGGTCTTGGGTAGTATATCTGCTAGTGTCAGACACATTTATGTGGTTTGTTATTTACTATAGGAAAATTTTTGGAGCTTTTTTAACACAATTTACAGGTTTCGTCATCTTAATGTTTTCTAAAAATTTTCCATTGATTATTATTCTTCAAAAAATTTCTAGTATTTACTTTAATATGTTGCATTTATATTTATTGTTATTTTTAGATCACTTGCATGTATTATTTCTTTTATCAAGATATAAAATGCTTTATATTTTTATTTAATAATTACACTTGTTAACCCAGTTGCATGTCTTCAACACTGCCATATGATAATCCATACCGTGGCGACAATCATGTAAAGAAGCTTTTGGGATTTACATTGAAATATTGTTTGGGATCTAATTGTATTTTTTAGTAGCCATTTTTCTGTTTTTTTAATTTATTATTTTTACAGTTTAATTAACCAGAAATTTAAGTCAACTCCTTCATATCCTTGATTTAGAGTTTTTTTGTCGTTTTTTTGTCATTTTGTTTGCTCATGGTTGACATTCACGTGCTTGGACCTTGTTGGTCCTTTCTAATAAATTTAATATATATATATTTTTTATTGTTTTCATTGTAGAAGACTAAATTGTTTGTGGAATAGATTTAAGCTAAAATGATTTTGAGGATAAAAAACTTTACTCTATTAGCTTAGGTTGACGTAGCTATCTTTTATTTTTTAATTTTTTTTATTTTTTTTGACTCAAACTAAAATTTGCCCATTTCTCTCATTTCACTAATGCAAGTTAAACAAAATGCCATTTCACCCTTCATCTCGTCATTCATCTCTTCCACTTATTCCACTGAGGGGATGACCGCGAGCATCAATTGAAAAAGTATTTTTTTTTTCTTGGGCATATAATTTGTCACTAAATATAGGATTTTGAACTTTCAGTTAATTTTTTCTGGTTTTTTGTATTTTATTGTCTTTTATATGCCTCATGTTCTATGAAAATTAATTCCCTATATTTATGCACTTCGATTGTTTTGCTTTGTTTTTGTTTTATAGTGAGTTCTTTTTATAGATATTAAAATAGATAACTCATTTTGCCTTGCAACATATGCTGCTGGCATACCCCTCATCCTTTGATAAGTAAATGCATTGTGTTTCTTCCTTTAACACAGTCGTCAATATCATATTAATTTCTGGATCTTGTTTGTTGGATGCTGACATAGTTAGGGCTGCTTTGATTTGTTAATTTTATATTGAGATTGAAAAATCTTTGCCTCATACTAAGTGTGATTTCGAGACTTTTTATGAAACTCTTAAGATCTATTTGGGATCAGTTTTGATTTTATTTTTATTTTTTCATTTATTTTTAATTTTTTTTTATCTTGGTGTATTTTTATTTTTAAAAACATTAATTTATTTTTAAAAACTCTCAAAATAATGTTTTGATTTTAAGTGATTTAAAAACAACGATCACCATCATTAGTTACCGTTGGTGGCTCCCAACTAATTGCCTACAACCATCAAAACATAATAAAGTATATGTGCATTTACATGCATAACACACATTTCTTATATATTACATATAGAACACCTAAATTTTTTTTCTTACATACATTTTAATATTTAAAATTACAACAAAAATACCACTATCACATACTTTTTATAGTGAGATACACTTTTTGATGCCTAGATTGGAGAAATCTAACAACAACAACAAAGCCTTGATCCCACTATGTGGGGTCGGCTGCATGAATCATTTTTCTCCATTGCGTCGTATTTAGTGTCATATTTTCATTTAGTTCTAATCAATTAAAGATCATTTTTTATACAATAAGCCCAAGTCTTCCTAGGTCTACCTCTGCCTTTTTTAATAAAAGCCGAATCTAAAACATGTACTCTCCTAATCGGATCATTAGATGGTCGACGTTTAATGTGACCAAACCATCTAAGATGACTTTCTCTAATTTTGTCCGTCA